AAGCCTCCAACTCCTTATTTACCACCACCCAAGGCTCCTGCTCCTGCACCTCCAGTAAAGCCTCCAACTCCTTATTTACCACCCCCTAAGCCTCCAACTCCTCCAATTCCTCAACCTCCCGTGAAGCCTCCAACTCCTTATTTACCACCACCCAAGGCTCCTACTCCTACCCCCCCAAAGGCTCCAAACCCTGCGCCTCCAGTAAAGCCTCCAACTCCTTATTTACCGCCCCCTGAGGCTCCAACTCCTCAACCTCCAGTGAAGCCTCCAACTCCTTATTTACCACCACCAAAGGCTCCTACTCCTCCAGCACCAGGGCGTCCAATTACCAAAAAGGGTAAGATTGCTTTTCCCCTAACACATTAAGTGCCCATTTAGTCTAGCTAAACCTCTTCTAGAAGTACTGTCTGAGACCTTGAGTAGATCATTTCTAGAAGTTCTCTATCTTGTAGTTTTATAAAATATCAAAAGTCTACTTAGTTTAGTTTGAGTTTTCACAATAGAGAAGTGTTCTAGCAGATAGGTCCAACAGTAAACAATAAAAATCCATCAGAAGCTGCTTCCTTGATTCGTTGTGCTTACTTCCTTACATTTTGGTGGATGATTCTTGTCGGCAGATTGCGTCCCATTATGTGAACAGAGGTGCAAATTACATTCAAGGATCAGACTCTGCATGAGAGCCTGCACGACATGCTGTGACAGATGCAAGTGCGTTCCTCCAGGGACATATGGAAACAGGGAAAAGTGTGGGAAGTGCTACACTGAGATGAGAACTCGTGGCAACAAGCCCAAGTGCCCTTGAAGCCCTCAAAATTTCTTGTTTTGTGGATGTTGTTTGTACGTGTTGGGGTAAAGCATGTAATAAGTCTTAGAGAATGAGAAAATAAATGGTTTTCTCTCTACCTGTCTAGTTTTTATTAATGCTTCCTGAAGCCATCAATTTGGCATGTAATGTGTGAGCAGTACTTATATTATGTGCTCTTTTTGCGGATATTAATATATTTAGAAATTTACTATGCTCCTATTAGTTTGAATCTTCAGCATACAATATATGACAATAATTCTTAACATGTGTTGCCTAAGGCAACATTAGAATCTTTGATAGCAACAAAGCAAGATTCCATACCATTCCTTGTTATTGTCACCAGGCCAGCAAAGTCCATTGTTTGCAATTTTTTGAGCTCACGCCCTTGAAATCAGGACAGTGTTCTTCAGTTCGGAACCTGTGGCCATTGATATAAGCCACGGTAACACATTAAATTTGTCATGTTCTTCGGTTTCTTATTTTGTTTTCCTCAAACAAAGAATTTCACTTACTAGTAACAGTATTACAGTTCATTTCCTTGTGCTGCATGTCAAGGCTCATGTAGATACAAGTTATCCAAAAATATAAGAAATAATTCCTTGGTTCTGCCTTTTCTGGGAAAGCAGGCTGGGATTTTCTGCTCACTCCAATGAACAACTGCCTAAATATAAGATCACCTGAGCATGCATAAGCAAGGCATAAGAAGAAAATCAAGCTACTTTGAGAAAGCATGAAGAAAAAGGAGAATATCATGGCTCTGAACAAGGCCGTTGCAGTTTTCAGCATTTGGTTTGCTTGCTCAATGTTGTTAGCCATTTCTGCTTCAGCAGCAGATGCTCTTGTGCCTTGGTCAGGTCATGTTCCTTCCCCCGCCCCAGCCACCCGCCCAAGTCTTGAGACTCCTTTATCTGCACCTGCCCCTAAAACCTCTGCACCAAGTGCCATTGCATCTTTACAAAAAGTCATGACTGGACCAATTGGTGTTGCCCTTTCCTTCCTTGCCCTTAAAGAGGTGGCTGGAAATCTATCCCATTTCCTTCCAAGTGTTTTCCAGATGATGACTTTGAAGTGTTATTGTATTTCTGTTTTTAGTATTCAGTTCTGCAGTATTGCAGTATGGATGCTACCTACCATGTGTTTCTTTGTTATCAACTTGTCAGGTATGCAATTTTGTAATCCTACTTGAGTAAGTGGAATAAATCTTGAAATTCTTTAACTCTATTCCATTATTAGGATTCTGATCCGGAAAAATTTACCAACAAACATTCAGATTTTAAGTCTTCGATTAACTGCTCATGAAGTACCACGAGTAAAAAGAGAGAGACCTAGAGAATATCAAATATTCCATGTTGAACTAAATATACAATATTTTCTTTTCACTGACCACAAGCAAATCATTCTGATCCAAAATGTTCAAAGATTAGCCCTCTTTTTGTTTAAGTTTTCACTCACATTTCATTATCTGTGAAATTCCCCTTCAAAAAACATGCAAGATTAGCCAGATGAGACTTGAACCAGAATGTACCAGCCAGTTTCAAGTAGAATATAGGACACATCAAATAGTCCCCTTTTATGGGAAATAATAACTTGAGAATATACAGATTCTTTTAGATAAATAACTGCAACAATTGATTGCTATATACCAATCAAGCAGAGGAAAAATGATGAATCTGTCATCTACTTTACTGTTAACTGAGAAGCTATGGTTTTCCTTGTTAGTGTCGCCAGGCCGGCAGAAACCATTGTTTTAAATATTTAAAAGTTTAAAATATTCTCCCTTCATTAAACATTTGTCAAAAACAATTACAAGATCATTAGAGCAAGAAGTGATTTGTTTTAATGTCAAAGAATGAGATAATTATTAACATGTAGCCATTCGACCGGTTTAATCTGTTGATATAAATCACAGTAGCTGAATTACATTGAGACTGTCATGTTCTTTCATTTTCTTCGTAGTTTCCTTTACATTAATGATTATATTTGACATTTTGGCTTTAGATTTTGAACCTGTTTCCTTCTTGTTTCGGTTGTTTCTACTAGTTTTCTATGTTGTCTTATTCTTAGGCTGCATGTATCCTTTCTTTGTACCTGCTAATTGCTATGCCTGAATTAAAAGACTTGCTTATTCATCCAAAACAAAAAATGTTCACTTCTCACAAATTACAGTTCATTTCCCATTTAGTTTCCCAATGTTATATATTATGAATCAAATAGCTTTAATTTATCCATGAGGATAAGAAAACATTCTTGGTTCCTCCTTCTAACGCGTTTTCAACCAAAGCACGAGAGGATATTCTGCTTGAAGACCTACATACATATAAGGAGAGAACCAGAGCGCACATAACCAAGGCATAAGATGAAAATAGAGCTACTTTGAAAAGGCATTAAGAAAAAAAAAAAGGGAATCATGGCATTCAACAACAAGGCTGTTGCAATATTCGGTATGTAGTTTGCTTGCGCAATGTTGTTGGCCATTGCTGTAGCACCAGCAGATACTTCCGCACCTTCTCCAGCTGGCCCTTCCCCAGCTCCTACCCCAAGCACTCAAACTCCTTCACCACCTGCAGGGCACACACCTGCACCGCCCACTAGCTCAGCAAGTCCCCTTGCATCTTTCCCAGCAGTCATGAGTGGACTAATTGGTGTTGCTCTTTCTTTCTTTGTCCTTAAAGAGGTGGCTTGAGCTTTCCCATTTCCCTCCTGTGTGCCATCCAAATAATGTCTTTTAAAGTATCATTCTGCTCTTGTTTCTTGGCTCAAAAGAAATTTCTGTTCCTTTGTTTTAGGTTCTGCTGTACTGTAGTATCTGCGAATGCTCCTCACCATGGTTTTCTTTGTGTCATGTATATCATTTCATAATCCAACTTGATTCATGTATTGTTTTACATTTTAATAAATAAATTCAATTTTTGCATCATGTGCAATGCTTTAATCTTGCTACATAGCCAAAAAAATCAGACCAGAGGTGCTTAACCTTGATCTTCGGTTTTCAAGGGTAAATGTATATTTTAAAAATAGTTGGTCTAAATTTGTACTCTCATAAAATAAAAGTTGAGAGGTTTTTATAGTTTACTCATGTTTTTCGGTATAAACACTGATGAGCTGGAAGAAAGTTTTGTATGCAAGGCAAAGCGCAAACCTTTCATACATTCAACACTCATTATTATTTTTTAAAAATCAAAATCAAATTTGTACAAAAAAGCAGAAATGGAAAAGAAAAATCCTAAAAACCTGTTTGGTAGGAAGGAAAGGAGAAGAGGAAAAAAACTCTAAAGTGAGGGAGATTATTTTGTTCATTTAAATAAGAATAATGATAAATAGAATCAAAATTTAAAACTAAAATTTTAGACAAATAATATGGCATAACTCACTTATTTAAAGTATTAACAAATAAATCATATATTATTTAATAATTAACTTTTTTTATCTTATTACAACCTATAATATTATTTACATTAACACATTTAATGACATAACTTATATTATACCATTACTCCCAAAATTCCATCTCATGTATTAATACTCATTAAATAAAGATGTTGGCTCTCCTTCCTCTATTCCTACATTTCTCTCTCTTTTTTTCCTTTTTTTTTTTTAAATGTTAATTACATAACAAAAGGCAACCCTCTCTTATTTTTTATTTTATCCCATTTGCATGTTATGCGATTTGAACTCATGACCTCTTACTTCCACCAGAAAGAGATTATCATTGAGTTATTAAGTCATTGGCTATTCCTACATTTCTCTTAAACCAAAATAAGTTTTAAAGAAAAAAAAATTAAGAACCATTTAGGTGCCTCTGGAAGTTAAGTGACTAATTTGGCATCGAATATAGAAGTTGAGGGACCAATTTGGTACCGGTCATACCAACTTGTTTTGCAAAAATGCAGAGTCGACTCCTGAAACAATTTTTGTTGGAGAGTTTAGATTTTAGACCGTTTTAGATTGGCGGCGACAAGGGAAACACACAGCACGAAGCAATAGGAAGATGAGCGGCGATGGGATCTTGGGGATCAGGGATTCCAAACAAAGCAAAGCAGCCATAACCAGAAGAAGAAATTGGCTCAAGAGACGAGAAACATGGTTAGTGGTTCTTGGAGTGATCCTGCACGCAGTCTACATGCTCAGCATCTTCGACATCTACTTCAAGACCCCCATTGTTCACGGAATGGATCTCGTCACTCCCCGCTTCAGCGCCCCTGCGAAGCGTCTCGTGCTTCTCGTTGGTACGACTTTATGTTAGGAACTGTATGCAAGCAAGATGCTTTCTTGTTTGCTTCTGCCAATGGATTTTGCAACTGGTTTTTGGTCCCTTCTACCTGGTTAACTGGCGTTAAACTTGAAATGCTTTTCTTGTAGTTTGCATTTTCCGTTGTTTAAATGTCTGTAATTGGGAATTGGTTTTCTGGGACGGTTTCAATTGGGCTTACATCAATTAATTTAGCATTTTTCTTCATTTAATGAGGCCTAGTGTTGGTTAAAATGTTGGAGAGTATCCGGGGTTTGTTGAATTTTACGTTTCTTGGTTTAAAAATGGTAAACATTATGTTAATCTAACTTCTAAGCATTTGTTGTGCTCTTAACCTGGGGTATGCGGTTTCAACTTCATTTGTAGAAGTTTGAGTACAATTTGTCTTTTTCCTAATATCATGTAGCAACTCAGGGTTGTTAATTGTTGGTGAAACATATCATTGCAGCTGATGGTTTGCGTGCTGATAAGTTTTTCGAGCCAGATTCAGAGGGACATTTTAGGGCACCATTTTTAAGAAGTGTGATTAAAGGCCATGGTCGTTGGGGAGTATCTCATGCTCGACCTCCTACAGAATCAAGGCCTGGACATGTTGCTATAATTGCCGGTTTCTATGAGGACCCTAGTGCAGTTACAAAGGGTATTTCATTTCTACTCTTTTTTTATTAATCTTGATGGAAATATCAATCATTTATTTTTTGTGCTCCCTGTTTCATTCCCTTTTCAAGCCTTACAATGCCTATAAAGCATTTAGTTGCCTGCATCAGATTCTACCTACTAATGCTATTCTATTTGCTTTGCAGGATGGAAAGCTAATCCAGTTGAATTTGATTCAGTTTTTAATCGCAGCAGGCATACATTTGCTTTTGGTAGCCCAGATATTGTTCCAATATTTTGTGGTGCCTTACCACACAGCACTTGGAATTCCTATCCTCATGAATTTGAAGACTTTGCTACTGGTCTGCTCACAAGTCTTTAAAAGGCAGATCGCTTTTTAATTTTATGAAACCATTCTTCTGCGACTAAAGTTGAAAACTGATATAATTTACATCAAATTAACTTCTGTGACTTAATCTTCTATGTCATATCTTATTCAGCTAAATTAACTTCTGCATCTCAACCATATATTCACATCTAGTTAATATTGTTCTGGTTTTCATGTAGTTAAGTAGACTGCATTAGTGGTTCCAATATAATTTTCTTGGCTCTCATGGCTAGAAATGTAAAATGTGCAATATTGGCATATAATTTCAGCTTTCTTGATATCATTGTATGCTGAACTTCTGTAATACTTTGTCTTTCCTATTTATGCTTCAATTTTTCAGACTACAAAAATTTCAGGAATTCATGTTCTCAAAATTTGACCTATGCTTAACTCTTGTATTTTTTCAGTGTTAATGTTATTTGGTTTGGTTGTTAGAATGATTTGCTGAGATACTTGCTATTCATATTTGAGGTTCTGGACAACTGGTCTGTAAATAAGTTGCAACACATTGCCTGAGCTACATTTTTGAATATTGCAATATGATCATTGTCAGTCATCTGCATTGATATCTTTGTATTTCAACTCTGTAGTGAATTTATTTTCAATACTTTTGTCAATGCAGATGCATCCTTTTTGGATGAGTGGTCTTTAGATCAATTTCAAAGCCTTCTAAATAGGTCCAAAGAAGACCCAGAGTTGAAGAGATTACTTCAGCAGGATAATCTTGTTATATTTCTACATCTACTTGGTTGTGACTCCAATGGTCATGCACATCGGCCTTTTTCATCCATTTATCTCAACAATGTTAAGGTTGTTGATCATATTGCCAAAGAGGTTTATAATTTTGTTGAGGATTACTTCAAGGACAACCTTACAGCATATATTTTCACCGCAGATCATGGCATGAGTGACAAAGGTTTGAAAATTTTTTATGCTTCATCAAATCCCACTTGGGATTTTTTTTTTTTCTCAGCAAAAAGAAGTGCATATCATATGTTTCTACATGCATTACTTATAATTAATATGTTACTAAGTAGTTCTCTGATTAGATTAACGGATTCGCTGCTTGGTCCTTTATCAATCAATATAATTCTTTGCTTAGGAGGAAAACTTTCCCTGGTTGTGACCTTGGATGTTTTAGCACCTATATGGTTATCTCTGCTGTGTGGTGGAATCAATTACATATTTACATTTCTTACATTTGGTCATTCTTTCTTCTCTAGAAATTTTTTAAAAATTTGATTATTTATTTATTTATTTTTTTGTATTCAAATTACAGAAGCTGACATGATTATAACGTTATTGATAGGAAGTCATGGGGATGGGCATCCTTCAAATACTGACACCCCCCTAGTTGTTTGGGGAGCAGGTGTTAAATATCCCTTGCCACTCTCCAACAGCAGCCATCATGATTGTAGTTATCGTTTTGTCGATGAACATGCACATGACACGCCAACACCTAAAGCATGGGGCCTTGATGGCATTGAACGGGTGGATGTTAATCAAGCTGATATTTCACCTCTCATGGTTGTAATTGTTATTATTGATTGTTATTATTGTTACTTGTTTCACCTCAACCTATTTGTTCCTAGGAATAATATTTTTTCAAAGCATCGTAAAACTTCTTTTATCTGATATGCTCCTAAACGTTCTGGCAGTCAACCCTACTGGGTTTGCCTGGTCCTGTTAACTCAGTTGGAAATCTACCTCTTGGTTACATTAACATGAATGAGGTGAGTTCAAATAATTTTGATTGGTATTCTTTGTGTAATTGTAGATTGTTTGTGTTCTCTAAGATTCCATGATAAAGCTTTAGTTAATAAAATTGAAAGGTTCCATTCATAATGAAATAAAAGAAATAGATTTTGTCTTATTATTGGTGTAGAAGGCAGAGGAGTTCACTTCAAAATTTAAAATTGTGTAGTCTTTGGCTTGCTGATAATCAATCTGAATGGATGGATAACTGATTAAATTTCTTTTGTACTTCCAGGAAGATGAAGTTGAAGCTGTTCTGGCTAATACTAAACAAATTCTTAACCAGTTTCTTCGCAAATCACGTATCCTCTTCTTAAATCAATTTTACTTCTTTGCAGTTTGCAGTATGGCATTGCATTGAGAAGCTTTAGCTAATGCAAATTAACATAATTTTTATCTTATCAGGCAGTGTTGAAAGAGCAACATTTAATAATTTTTCTTGAAATTTGAACACAGGCATGTTGATTTGGAGTGATTTGTTCTGGTTTTTAATTATTATTCGAGACATTTGTTTTTCTTTGAAGTCATTTGCATTGTTGATCTGCTATTTTCCACTGGCTAAGTTTTGTTGGTTTTCTTGACAAACTTAGAAATAAAGCAGTCACATTCATTGTATTTCAAGCCTTTCAAGCCACTAGCTAAGTATTCCTCATTGCTGGATCATATTGAGGATTTAGTATCTACAAGACACTATAAAGCTGCAATGGAACTATCTGAAAATCTCAGAAGCTTGGCACTTGAGGGACTTCACTATTTTCAAACCTATGATTGGCTGATGCTGATGACTGTAATTACTCTTGGCTACATTGGTTGGATGGTCTTTCTTGTTCTTCACGTGCTGCAAGCTTATACTTCATTTCAAGGCAATGTATTCAGAAAGGAGCAAGCAGTCCATCAGAAATACTATATTGGAAAAGTATGTTTTTTTAAGCTTCTCTTATAATTATAGAAAGAGGGAAATGAGTTTAAAATAGAACAAGTTTGTCATTTGAAAATTTTTCCCTCTGCAAAACAATGTTCTTTTCTTCCAAGTGAAGTTACACCTTTAACATATTCTGTTTTTAATGGCAGATACACTTCTGTGGTTGTCTCTTTATGGGAATATGTTCTACTCTGTTGTTTGTGGAGCGGTCTCCTCCCCTTTACCATGCATATGTTGCAATGACAGTATTTTTGTGGACACGAATCCTTAATGAATATGCACTTATAAAAGCACTATGGAGACACTTAAGTGGGAGAAAATTCCATTATGCTGTTAAACTCTTCATTGCTGTAGTCATATCAGTGATCATTCTTGAATTTCTGGTGTGGGCATTATACTTGCTTTTTATCTCTGAACCTTAAATAATGAAAAAGCATTAGTGGGTAGCATTCTGAGTGATGTTTTTTGCTACCTTTTGCAGGTGAATAGCTTCACAGAAAGGAAGCTGTATACTTGGTGTTTTCTGACAGTTGGTGTCCTAGCTTCTGTTTATCTTTACAGTTTAATTCCTTGGAGATCTGGGATACCAGTTTTTGTTTGCTTTGCCTGTTGGTTTTTATCTATATTTACTTTGATGCCTGCAGAAATTCCTGACAATAATAAGTTGGTGTAAGTTACTTATCCTTGTTTCTCTTTTAAAAATTCATTCTTAGGGGCACTTATTCATTTCTAATAGTTCAGAAATAAGATGTCCTAAAACTGGAATATTATAGTCAGCAAAGTCAGGAATTTCTTTTGTAGTTCTTCTTATAAAAGTTCTATTCAAAGCAAAAAGAAGGAAAGTTCTTTGATAAATGCAAAGTAAAAAATTAGGGAAGATAAGAAACTCACAATTGAAAATTAAGAAAGAATAAAAAATTCTCCTCAAAGTCTCTTGTCACTGACACGAGTATTCTCAAGAGAAAAACTTTATAGTCCTACTGTTATTATCCTTGTGAACAAATAACAGTATTAGCTCTCTTTATGTGGTCATTTCTTTATGTGTTTAGTTATGACGTATGCATTGTGACAATCATGTCTGTAGAGTTGCAAGTGGAGCCATGATTATCATCTTTGGATTAACAGCAAGGTGGCTGGACCGGCATGCAGATGGAAACAAGTATTGGTCAAGTATCTCTAACCAAGGAATTAGAAAACTCCGGTTCCCCATGCTCTTTCACTTACAGGTACATGACTTGCGTTTATCAACTGCTAGAATGAGAATCTCTTTTCTTAGATAACAAATTGAAATTGGTTGTTTCTGCTGCATGACAATCAGGCACTTTTGGTTGGATTATCATCAATAATGGTGTTTTTATCTACATCTCATAGAACTGAGAAGCAAGAACTACATGCGTGGCACCAGCTGATAAACTGGTCTATTGCTGGTATATTTCATACTGCCTCTTTTCCCAAAATTTTTCAGGCTCTTCAAAAAGACTATAATTATATAAACTTTTATTTACACTAATTGTTTGTTTTTTCATAGGTTTCTCTATGGTCCTTCCACTCTTTTCAGATGATGGTCTCTTGTCTAGACTTAATTCTATATTTCTTGGTTTTGCACCAACATTCCTTCTCCTATCCATTGGGTATGTATCTTTCAAAGCTACTGCCTTTGAGGTACCAATTTGTAGCTTTGTGTACATGCACAACGGAATGCAATTTTATGATTGTCCACCTTCTTGTGAAATCTGTGCAGATATGAAGCTGTATTCTATGGTGCCCTTGCCCTTGTACTCATGGCATGGATATTATTTGAACACACACTTATGTATAAAGTGAGAAAATCTTCTGCTTCCATAAAGAATTCAGAGGAACTTTCAATTCTTGAAGACGGTTGTAGATCCTTGAAGTTATCTGATGTTAGGATTCCATTGACTTTTGTAAGTCACATATTTCCTATCCCTTTTTTATTATTCTCCCCATACAACTGCATTCTTCTCCATGTATTTATGATGTCTGTGATCTCTATTGCAGACACCAGACACATGGTGCCAGTAGCGAGTTTTTTTTTTTTCAGAGAAAATCAAGTATTTTTGTCAGTATATGCTTTTTTGATGACTTAGTTCCTCCATCTTTCCCAGATGGTCTTGTTTAACATTGCCTTCTTTGGGACTGGAAATTTTGCAAGTATTGCAAGTTTCGAGATTTCATCCGTTTACCGGTTTGTCACAGTTTTCAGTGTAAGCAGTCATTGAACTTCCAGCCATTTTCTGCTTTAGTCTTGGAAACAAACCTGAAATGACTTAACTTTAAATGCAGCCCTTTCTTATGGCAGCTCTCCTCATCTTCAAGTTATTCATACCATTCATGCTTGTCATGTAAGTATCTCATCTTATGCCCCGTGTTATTATATGGCTGCTTCTTTTGAGATTAAGAAAATTGAGGTTGTTGCTTCGCATAAAATGCAGATGTGCTTTCAGTGCAATAACCAAACTATTACAAGTTCCTCGGTTAGGATGCTATTTTCTTGTAATATTATTTTCAGATGTGATGACCATCCACTTCTTCTTCCTGGTAAGTAACTATTTCCTGTTTTCACAATTTTATCTCTGCTTTTCTTAGATGGAATTATGTCTTCATTAAATAAAATTATATTATAATGGTTCTTCATTTCTTCAATGTGCTTTAAATTCTGTTCGTAATTAGTTGCAGTAGACTAATTCCCATATTAACTCAGCAATTAAGATTTTAGAAAATTAATTATTGCCATAGCTATAATTTTTGCAATGGGTATATGGCTTTTTCTATATCGTTTAAATTTAATACATGCTTAGGTAAATGATGAGCAACTCGTGGTCTTAGTGATTGAGCTACTTTTCTGAGTAACAGGTGCGGAACACAGGAAGCTGGATGGAAATTGGTAACAGCATCAGCCATTTTGGGATAATGAGTGCCCAAGTTGTTTTTGTGCTGCTACTTTTTGCTCTCACAAATGTATACACCAAAGACATCCGAATTAAACCAGCTAGCCCATCCTCCAGAAAAGCAATGTGATCCACAAGAAACTAGGATTATAAGCATTGAGCTCGTCCTCAAAGTTCACTATAAGATGAGCATTTCAGAGTCTAGTACCGGCCGTGAATAATCTAGAGCAGTCTTCCACAACAGTTTCCAATTTTTACGATGCTTCCCTGAGCTTCTGAATACATGAGAAACTTGAACCTGGTAATCTTCCAAAATTTTACGATTCAGTCTTACATACTTACCTGGTTACATTCAAATAATTTTTTTCCTCTTTTTTTTTTTTTGGGCATTTATTGAGGGTGCTAATAGGATTTAGAGGAATGGTTGTAAGCTTATTGGCAAATTCTGCCTCCCTTTCTTGAGGCATTTAAACCATTATTTGCTGTAAAAGTAGATAGATCTTCATCCTTTGAAGGTTTCTGAAAGTTATAGAAATGGAATGGAATCTTGAAATTTATCATGCATCAAGCGATGACCTCCAAATAGCAGAAAGTAGGCGGCTGGGAAATGATGACTTGGGAAGAAAAATGAGTAGCTTACTGGGAAACACTGGAAAGCAAGGAACTCGTTTTCTCTTTCTTTTTCTTTCTTTTTTTATTCCCTTGTAAATTGAACTTTAATCAACTCAAATCATGGAATTTTTGAAAATTTCATTCAAAAGTTGAAAGTTTTCAAATTAAATCACCTCGCCTAGAAAGGAAAAGAAGGCAACTTGGAGCACCAAAAATTTGGCAACATCTTAGTTGTTAGGCTACGAGAATTGGAATTAGCTGTCAAATGCAAGGAAACAACCAGCTTTGTGGTGGGACCAACAAGCACATGCCCTGAAAATAGAATTCCTACCCAAGGTACATGCCATAAAAACAGCAGTCCTGCCCAAGGTATTCTCCCATGCAATCTTCCAAGTTCTAATTTTGTGTCTTTCTGGTAATTTTCCTTTTTTTTTTTTCTTTTCCTTTCTCATTAAAATTAATATTACTGGGTTGAGTATGGCTGAAAAGAGCTACTCATTCTACTCATTAAAGATTCTATAAAAATTTATGTATATCAAAATTTTCCCTTAATCATTTTCTATAACTAGTAATGTTGCTATGGTTATGACAACACAGACTCTTGTTAAGTCTACAAAATATATTATAAAATATTTAACATATAATTTAAAATATATCTGATTTTATTGATATCATTAATTTATGATTAATTAAAATATTTAAAAATATCAATATATAAATTAATTTTTAAATTATGAAATAATAAATATTAATTATTTTATAAACTATAATAGTTACAACTATTAACCCACACAACAATCAAACCAAACACATTTACAACATTTTTGGTTGTCCTTAACCTAAAAAACAAAAAGTTTGTGGCCCTCACGATGCCCATTAACCACTTCCCAACTAATTGGCCTTAATTCAAAAGCATGGATTTGATGTAAGATTTTCACTAGATCATGGCTGTAAAATTGACAAGTCCAGATCTCATCCTCACTTAGTTGGCCCCCAATTCATCCCGTGATTGGCGCTACGGCTGCCCCCAAGTAAAACCCCCCACTCTCTCACTCCCTCATCATCCCCACAGGCTCCCCTGGTAAAAGCCTTCCCTTTCTGCGTTTCTCCGCTTCTCTTCAACAAGCAGAAGGAAGTCATGGCAGCTGTTCCGCCGTCGTCACTACCGCACTCAGCAGTGGCCCTCATTGTCCTAACACTAGCATTCGCTGCGTTGGTTTGTGAATCTAAGCTGAGTGTGGACTACTACGCTAAATCTTGCCCCAGATTCAACGACATCATGCAACAGACCATCACCAACAAGCAGATCACAAGCTCCACCACCGCTGCTGGTACCCTCCGCCTTTTCTTCCATGACTGCTTCCTTGACGGCTGCGACGGCTCTGTCCTTCTCTCCTCCACTCCCTTCAACTCCGCCGAGCGAGATGCTGAGATCAACCTCTCCCTCCCTGGTGACGCCTTCGACGTTATCGTCCGAGCGAAGACCGCTCTTGAGCTTGAATGTCCCAACACCGTCTCCTGCGCCGACATCCTCGCGGTTGCTACCCGGGACCTTCTAATTATGCTCGGGGGACCTCATTATACCGTCTACCTAGGCCGCAAAGACAGCCGGATTTCAAAATCTTCCCTCGCCGAGAGCGATCTTCCTCGACCCACCTTGCCGATGTCCCGAATAATCGACATGTTCGCTAAGCGAGGCTTCACCATTCAAGAAATGGTGGCTCTGAGCGGCGCCCACACCGTGGGTTTGTCCCACTGCAAAGAGTTTAGCTTCAACCTTAAAAACGATACCCAATACAACCCGAGATTCGCACAGGCATTGCAGCAAGCCTGCGCCGGTTACCCCCAAAACCCAACATTGTCCGTCTTCAACGACATCATGACTCCGAGCAAGTTCGATAATTTATACTTCCAGAATCTTCCTAAGGGGTTAGGCGTCTTGGAGTCTGATCACGGCCTGTACAGTGATCCCAGGACGATTCCATTCGTGGAATTGTATGCAAAAGATCAGAATAAGTTTTTCCAGGACTTTGCCATAGCTATGCAGAAGCTTAGTTTCTATGGCATCAAGACTGGGAGGGGAGGAGAGATTAGGCGCAGGTGTGATGCTGTTAATTGAGCTCTCATTGTTAAATTTATGGCGATTTCATTCTATTCTTTCTGGATTTTGGAAATCTTGATAGTATGTATACCTGCTTTGTCTGTACCAACTCTTGATTTTATCAAGCTCAATTATACATGTAGTCATTTATCCTGTGTTCTGGGTTTCTATCTTTTTGTTCTTCATTGCATATGGTATCCTGATTTTCCTGTTATTCTTATGATGATGATTTTTCATTGCATTTGGTATCCTGACATGGTAAATGCATTTGTTCACTCTGTGACTTGAGGGTTCCAACCCTTTTGCCGTTCTTCAGCTACTGATTTACCTGATAATCTTGTTGAATGGTTGATGAAGAAGCTTGATTTTTTTTTTTTGGTGATTTTGCATACTGAAATTACGGGTTTTTCATGGGTGAATGTGTTTGTGGAGACACAAGATGATGATTTTGAATTGTATTGCATTAAACAATGCTGAAAGCAAGCAGAAAGATGCTCTTTTTTATATTTGGAATTGATTATGATGGTTTTGTTTAAGCCTTTTGAGTAACTATTTGTCTCATGTTTGTGTCTTTCTCAAGGAATAGTTTAGTTTAGTCCTCTCGTCTTTGAAATGGTAATAGATTAGCATAATTTTATGCTACAATAATGCTTCACCTGCACTAAATCAATTTCTCGACCTGGAAATAAGCACTTGACCACCTGCTAGTCATGTGGGTTGTTTACTTTGAAATGCATAACTGAGAATCTAGCTTTCTGTATAAATTTCATTACCATGATTGTTTAATTCAGGTTTACTCGCGTCTGTTTCATGTATGCGGTTGAATGCGCGGATGTTACATCTGTCTCATTCAAGTCCGATATCGTAGTCATTCGTTTACACATGTTTAGCATGGTGGTTAGGAGGCATGGACTTAAAATTTTTCTGAAAATTTTGTGAGGTATGATGTGACTTGTGTGTTTAGCTCTTTGAGCATAAGATAGCTATGCTCCATTCTGTTGTTGTGAGGACTGGAAGTTTGTATTGAGACTGCAATCAATGGATACATGACCATCACAGTGACCTGTCCACATTTCTTGAGAACTAGAGAGATTTATGACTACCAAGTACCTGTTGGTTCGTGTGAAAGGAATTCAGTTCTTCTTAAATAAGATTTTGAATTTAAATATTGTGAACGAAGAAATAGGTGTTGAAAGAACTTCTTTAATAGGGTCTGATGTGATTTGATTCTGGATTAGTTAGATTTAATGTAGTTATTGAATATCGGAAGTTAATAAAAAAAAAAAAAAAAAAGATCTATGACTTCGTGAGGACATAAATTGTGACAATAATAACACCCATATTATTTTAGGAAGGTAGCAACAACCACCTATAACTTTTTTTTTCTTGTAAAAAAAATTGCAGCAGTCAAAGACAAGGAAAGGCAGACACATGGCGATGGGCAAATGATAGTTGATTGATTATTCATTTCTAGGGCTAAGCCATGTGTCTAAAGAAGTTTAACTGGATCAATGGAATAATTAGTTTTGCCGTGTGTGTGAACTAGTTTCAGTATAACTTAATGGCTAAATAAAAAAAAAAAAGAAAAAACTGGCCCATGACTCCCTTTGTAATCTCAGCACATCCAATTCACTCCTTACATTTTTCTTTTCTGTATATTGAGTTTGAGCATAGGTTATACGATATGTTGGCATGCATAATGCAAGTTGAAAGTTGTGAATTGATACAAATAGTGTCTTTGAAAGCTATCAATCAACTTTTTTTTTAAAAAACAATTACATGGGTACATTGATGGAACACAATACAATTCCAAAACCGATCAGTTTGGAATTGCTTGGAATCCCATATATACCTTACAACTCACGCACACGGAGTCGATGTGGGACAACTGCCCCACAATCGGGGGTAAGCCCCCACTCAAGGGGATTTGTTTTTTTTTGAAACAATTACATGAGTACAGTGACAGAACACAACGCAATTCCAAAGCCGATTAGTTTGGAATTGTCTGGAGTCTCACATATACCTTACAACTCACACACATGGGGTCGATGTGGGACAACTGCCCTACAATCGAGAGCTATCAATCAACTTGAAGACTATGATGTAGGCATTTTCAGATGTGGCATCTACTTTTCTTTTATTTCTTTTATTAAGTTTTATCTAAATATAAAGTTATCTTATTCCATTTAGTTAGAAGGTTGAATGAGAATGGAAACTTAATTTCTATTTATGCACAATTAACAAGAAATTAAATAAAATAATATATGCCATTTGTTGATCACGATGATATAAAAATAATTTTTTTATAATTTTTAAATATTATTAAATAAATATTTATTTAATGTCATTGAATCTCAAATAAATTAAAAAGTAAATGATTTAAATAAAACATAAATTCTCTAAAATTCTCCGTAAATCATTTTTCTCATTGATGCTGTCATCAATGCCGTAGTTTTAAAAATCAAACCAAACTAATTGGTTAAATTGATTGGACCAATATCCAGTAATATAAACAGTTTAAATATATTTTTAAAACCATTCAAATGGTTAAATTATTTAAAACCGTTAAAACCATTTAAACCAATATAAATAGTAAACCATTTGAACATGAAATTTTATTTATCTCATAAATCTCAAAGATTTTAATCAAATCCATTGTATACAACAAAGATTCTTTTACTTGATACACAATTTTTTATTTACAATTTTATCCTTTATAATATACTTATTTTATTTTTAAAAATACTATTATATTAAAATTTTACAATATACTTATTTTATTTTTAAAAGCACTATTATATTAAATTAATTCTAATGAGGACTTGAACATGTGATCTCTTTAAAGAAATATCAGTCACCTACAATAGCAACTAATTGGCACCTCATGAAAACTTTTTGTATGATAATATATTTATAATATTTTAATCAACCTAACAGTTAAATCGGTTAAACCAATCAAATTAAGAACGAGAGTTCAAAACGGTTTGAACTCCAGTTCGGTATTAAATAAATTGATCGGTGCGGCATCACGCCTGACTCATACAGTCCTTCTCGTAGCGTTAATACTAAGCTCTCGTAGCGTTAATCCTAAGCGAAGCAGGGATAGAAGAAGGGGTACGGATACATTTCTCCTTTCCTCATCTCCTTCTCCCTCTGAGTTCTCACCACAAAATTCACTGATCTTTCCTTTGCTCTGTCTAGAGAAAAGATGGTAAACCAACCAAACAAGGGAGAAAGGAAGAGAAAATCAGGGATAAACGCGGGTAACTATGATCAACAGGTAAACAAATTAGTATACAATCTTTATTTTCAAGTTCTTAATTTAAGATTATTTTCATTTCCCTAATTTTTATATTTATGTTTCTTCATATTTGGATTCAGCTGGAAGAACTTGTGAGGCTACTGAATGGTCTTAAGGATACAAATGCAGAATTGGTAAAGGAGAAAGAGAAATTTAAATCTGAGAGAACTGCTTTGGAGCAGGAGATCGAGAGTCTTAAATCTAAGATTACTGCTCCGGAGCTTACTGTTTGGGAGCAGAAGATTGAGAAACTTAAATCTGAGGAAACTGCTCTGGAGCGGAGGATCGATGGAGTTAAATACAAGATTACTCGTGTGGAGCGGGGACTAAAGAAATTTATGGTAACATCTCTATCTTCACCTCTTTTTCTCTTCTATGGATATGAATAGTAGCAAAATGTGTTCTTTCTCTAGAATTTTTAAATGATTCTTCAAAATGATGAATGGAATGCTATCAGCTGCTTTATAATTTCTTAGACTGCATTTAGCATGGTTGTAGTTTTTGGTTTTTATAAATTTCGCAACTCTAAACATAAAACTGTTTACTTTTTCTTTTTGGGTAAAATGTGAATTTATTACCAAAATCACCAAAATTTATATAAAGCAGCTCTTTTGGTTAAGGCTGCTACTAATGTCAGTACAAAGAATGAAACAACTCCTAAACTACTGTATGTTCAAACCTTAGCTGTACATAAAATTTCTAATCCCCATTGAGCTGCAATTCTCCTTGACATGGGAGAAGACCTTTCCTTTACAGACCCTAGTACTCTGTCTCGGACATCCATTTGAATCATATCAATTATTGCAGAAGGAGATCTGTATAGCTGTCTATGTATCCTTCTGTTTCTTTCAATCCAGATATGATATATTGATGCACCCCAAGCTAATTTAAGAAGAGAGCTGTATAAAGCCTTATGTTTAATTCTCTTACACAACCAATCCAAAGCATCTTGCCAAACACAGTTTAATGTGATTTCCAGCATAGAAGAAATCTTTTCCCTAATATGAGTAGTGTAGGGACAGGAGAAGAGGAGATGCTTCCTAGTTTCACTTGCATTCCCACACAGCACACAAGTGTCATCAATGGAAGAAGACCAATTTTTCTGTCTAGACCTGGTAGAGAGTCTATCTAATATAGCCAGCCAAGCAATAAAACTATTTCTGGGAATAGAATTTGAGTACCAAATGAGTCTGAACCAGGGTGCCTTAGATCTTTTTTCTCTAAGGAAGTTCCAAGTAGCACCTGTTTGAAAAGAACCTGATGGAGAAGCCAACCAAACAACTTGATCCTCCACAGCCTGATTAGGATAGAATGTTCTACACAAAGCAATTTGAATCTGCAGCAGTTCAGGGGACCTAGCAGGAGGCCATTTCCAATAATCCCCATGGATTACATGAGACAGTTTTGCTTGAGAGGGAATGGTTGCATCCTGTATAATTTTCTGCCCATATACTTCAATAAGACGTCCCTTGGGATGCCAAGAATCAGACCAGAGAAAAATAGTGTCACCTTTACCTACTATATGCTTCACGAGAGGTCTAGCATATGTTCTAAGTTTTAGGATTTTTCTCCAACTACAAGTAGTGTCTACTGGAATTCCTACTGACCAGAAACTCTTTTCTTTTAACAAATATGTTTGCACCCATGCAACCCATATAGAGCCTGCCTTTGTGAAAAGCAGCCAAATAAATCGGAAAATGCAAGCCACATTCCAATTATGCAAAGGCTTCAAGCCTAATCCTCCTTCCATCTTGGTTGACATACTGTTGCCCAACTTACCTTGGCTCCTCTTGCATCAGCTGCTCTACCTTTCCAAAGAAAAGTGTTTCAAATTCCCTCCACTGATTTAATTAATCTTTTTGGCAGAATGAAAATAGAACACCAAAAGTTTATTATGCTTTGAAGAATAGATGAAATAAGCTGCAATCTCCCTGCAAATGACAGATATCTGGAAGTCCATGAACTGATTTTATCAGTTATTTTTGTGATGAGAGGTTTTAAAGCAGCATCTGTTAGTCTTCCAGTTATAAGTGGTACCCCAAGGTATCTAACAGGAAGGGTTCCCACCTTGAAGCCATACAAATCACCTAGCTCCCTTATTACATTAGGTTGCATTCCACCGTAAAAAATTTCTGACTTATGGTAGTTCACCTTTAAACCTGTGACCAAATAAAGAATCAACAGCACCTATTGCTCTTGCTGAACCATCTGTGAACACTAGTAAACCATCTGCAAAGCATAGATGAGTTAGTCCAACATTACTGCATTTGGGATGGAAAGGTAGCATTCCCTCCTTGGCAACTTTGTTGAGCATCCATGATAAAACCTCCATACAAATGACAAAAAGGTCAAAAAGGTATGGTGATAAAGGATCGCCCTGCCTTATCCCTTTCTTACCAGGAAAATAGCCTTCTAAATTTCCATTTAGAGCAATTGAGAACATAGGGGAGGTGATACAGGCCTTAATCTAATTGATAAAAGTGGGAGGAAAGGACAAAGCTTCTAAGGCTGTGAAAATAAATTTCCAGCTCACAGAGTCAGAAGCCTTCATTAAATCAATCTTCCATGCACACCTAGGCTTTATGTTAGGCTTGTTATAATTTTTTACCAACTCTTGTGCAAGCAGTATGTTCTCCACCATTAGCCTTCATTCAATAAAAGCACATTGGTTGGAGCTAATGAATAGAGGTAGACACTTTTTCAATCTATTAGCAATAATCTTCGTGATGCATTTGTAAATCAGATTGTAGCAGGATATAGACCTAAATTCAGTCATCTTAGATGGACAGGACACCTTAGGCACTAAAGAAATAATCATAGAATTCACCTCTTTAAGGAGCTTCCCTGTTGAGAAGAATTCTTGTACTGCTTTTGTAACCAAGTCTCCAACAATGCTCCAAGCACTTTTATAGAACTCAACAGTATACCCATCTGGTCCAGGGCTCTTGTTATTTGGGCTACTGAAAAGAACTAATTTGCATTCTTCTGCTGTAACTGGCTGAATTAGTGCTTCTCGAGTTGCTTCAGATAGTTGGAAGTCAAACAGAGCTTTCAACTGATCAAGATCCCCCCCAGTGCAATACGGATCCTCACTCCCTAGGAGAGCTTGGTAAAAACCAATAGCTTCATTTGCAATATCCTCATGCTCAGTAAGTATTTTATCATCTTCAGTATGCAATTCTTTTATCAGGTTCTTACTTTGTCGAACTTTCATTACTTTATGAAAGTAAGTAGTATTTTGGTCTCCAACCTGTAGCCAATGCACTTTAGATTTTTGTTTCAGAAAGGCTTCTTCAGCAAGTGATAGCTCTGCCACCCTCCTACCCTGTTCCTGTTCCCCCAAAACCAAATCTTCATGAGGATTAGCTAGCAAATCAATTTGGATAGCGTGTAATTTTGAAGTCTCCTGTTGAACGCTTCCTTGCAGATCCCTGTAACAATCCTTGTTAAGCTGTCATAGAGGGGCCTTAAGAGCCTTCAACTTTTTGCAAAGCTGAAACATGTAGCATCCTGAAACTGTGACAGATGACCAAACCTCCTGGACAATTTTTAGAATCTTTTCATTCTTTGTCCAAAAATTGAAAAATTTGAAAGGTTTTCTGGTATTTTGGGCTGCCACTTCCATTATAGTTACCGACCGACCCAGCACAATGGTCTGAGATATCAGGGGGTAGAAACTCTGCTCTTGTTCTTGGAAAGGTGCTAAACTAAGTGCTGTTGACTAACAACCTGTCAAGCTTTTTAACAATGAGTCCTTCTATTCTCTTGTTTGACCATGTAAATTTAGGTCCAAAAGCAGGAATATCAGAAAGTTCAGCATCATTCAACTTGTCATTAAAGAACTCAGAGTCCTTGGAGAACTGCATGTTTTGGATGCAATCAGACCTCTCCTGCAGATATCTAACTTCATTAAAGTCACCTCTCAGAATCCAAGGCACTTCAGGCAGCACCCTGCTTAGAGCAACTAATTCATCCCATAGTTGTCTCCTCTGATCAGGAGAATTATCAGCATACACAAAACTAGCAAACAATTACCTCTTAGTAATAGTGTCAACCACATGACAGTGTATAGCTTAATGATTAGAACTAGATATCCTTATAGTTATATGACACCGTTTACTTTTATGTGTTTGTGCAGCATGTTATAATCATTACTAGAAATATAAGAACAAAAATAGTTTTGATACTATTAAACAAGTTTGCATTTTTTGTTATCCATGTTAAATCTTGTCTTAAACAAATTGTTAATTTTTTATTTTTAGTTTTGGTTTTTAGTAGTTGCAAAATTTATGAAAATCAAAATTAAAGACCAAAAACCACAATTATATTAAAGGGAGCCTTAATTACTAGGTAGACCTTGTTGTGGGAAGAAAAGAGAGAGTGGAAAAGCTAGGATTACCTTATGTTTTGCATGATTACTGTACCTGTTGATGTGGGTGTAAATAAATTATCGACGATTCTTGAAGCTCTGCATCTCATTTTCTCTGTTTTCTTTTTCTAACATAGCAGGGGAATATGTCAATGGACATTAGCTAACTGCCTTCTTTTATGGAGTGTGCTAATTCTTATTTGACGCGCATCTTTCATTGTTTATATATGGATATAAATTACCTACAATGTTTATGGCATTGCAGGATTTTATGTTTGTGATTGATGATTTATCTGATGCGAAACTTCTTGATGAGAAATGATAATTCTTATCTGGTGCATGACTTTTATTTTTTCCTTTTTGTCTTTTTTGGTGTAGCACTAGTGTGCTTCTTGAATGCAACTTTGATAGTTGATCTTTTTCTTGTGGTACTGCAAATTTTCCCCATTTAGTAGTGTTTTTTAGAATAAAGAGCGTGTTATTGTGTTACTGTCTGTTGTCAATTTCTCCTTGTTAATGGGGTTAAGCTTGGTAACATTGAAGGTTTATGACAATTGTGATATGTAGCTATTTGATTGTTAATCTCTAATTCTCGATCACTAATTCCTTCTCCATATTGTTTCAGACTGATGCTCTTCCTCTCCCACCTCCCAAAAGACCTGCAAAATACAAGCTAATTACTCAGGGTACAGGAAATTTACAAACTGAAGTATTAGAGCCTAACAAGGAGCAAATTCCGGTTGAGTTGGAGAAGGTAAGGGCTACCAACAAAGAATTGAAAAGGGAGAATGCAAGGCTCAATTCTGTCTCTTTCATTCCTTCTGCTTTATCCTTATTTTCTTCCTTTTAACTTTTTCTGAGTAGCAACTCTTTTCCTCTGACTTTACCAGAAGATGAAGGAGGCTTGTGCTGCCGTTGGCGCCTACTTTGTCGCCTACCTTGAAGAGCAGAAAGCCAGTCTCGGAGCACAAAGGGAGTCTAGAGCTGTGAATGCCGAAGAGGAGGAAAGTGCCGACCAAGCCAAGGAAACTGCAGATGACGATTACTAGGAAGCGGCTGTGGCTGGTCCTGCACAGAACCGATCAAATAATATTTGATTTGCCCGTTGTTTTATAATATAAAAGTTTGAAAATTTTAAAACTTGAGTTAGTTGTTTTGTAAATTAAGGTTTTTATGTCAACATTTTGACTGCTTTTCTGGGTTTCACTGGTAAAGTACATATTTTGAGTGCTTATTACGTGCAATTCAATTTGTATAACATATTTTATATTTTATACTTTTTCTCATGTTAGTGTATTTTTTTTTTTTAATTGTTTTTCATAAAAAACCTTTAAGTTTTGAAGGTAAACACGTGGGGATGAGGGTTCAATATGCGCCTGCATACGAGAGGATTTTTATCCCTTTCTGCCCTTATCATATCATCCATGTCAACAATTTGTGAAAACCTCCACTACTCCGCAATTGATACAAGATTCACCCTCAAACTGCCACTAATCTTCTATTTTTCCTCATTCCTTCACCTTAAAACCGTACATTCTAAATAAAATGTCTTTAATAACTTAATAAATGACCACTCAAATCACATAGAACTTTTCTTTTACTATAAAGATTTGATAATTTAGTTACAAACCATTTCAATAGGCTGCATCCACCACCCTTGAATGGTGATTGCCAAGCACTTGTGGACCTATGG